CAGGGGCTCCTCGGTTTGCCGTCCCCCTAAGGTTGTACTGGGACTGGCCGATTTATGGCCGTTCAATGGGTTTCCTGTAAACGTTTTCTCTCTATATAAAGGTTTATATAGAGAGAAAACCGTTAACTGTACAACCCATAAAACGGCCACAAATCGTCCCATGGACCGCCCAGGAGAGACGTAACACACATTTTATGTAAGGTAAGCTGTTTTTTATTGAAATCCTTTCATGTTCGTAGGTTACGGAAACGATAGATATTTTTTCCATACAAATACTTATATTTCGATATAAGCCGATATATTTCGAGCTTGGGCTACCTGTGATTACACGTCTTTGTTCGCTGTGGAACTGGAGAAAATACTTGTGAATGCGGACTTGAAAATCACAGCTTTGTGTCAAACAAATATGTCTCCCAAGCATTACATCAAATATTACAAACAAAAAAATGAACTTCGATAAACTGTTTCGCTAACAAGTTTTCAAAATCACAATTGTAAACCGATTCAATCTTCTTTTTTGTCCGTCCGTGCTGATCCTGTTATTTTTGCTGTGTTATTCATACCTTCTTTCAACGTTTTGAAAGGTTATTTTTATGTTTCATTCATTTTGGTCGGGCAGTTCCCACTGTTTGAATTTTGATAACTTTCGTGACTCAGTTCTTTGAAACGCACCAATGACATTACGAGTCTTTATAGCGAATAACATCACGGCTTAACTGACAGACGACCAATAACATCGCGAGTTAATTGACCAATCAGGTCAATAGTAACCAGAGTTTTATACCATCAACTGACTGCAAGATACAACTGACTTTGACTCTGAAGATGACAACCACACAGGTTGTCGAAACGTCAGTCACTGTCAACAACAAAAGTCCTATTTAGGACTACGTTCACCCAGACGATCAGACTCAACCTCGGCTTATGAAATGACCTTTAAGTTCGAACCTTTCACACCGTTCTTTTAATTAATTAACCTTTCACTCCCAGGGTAAATAATTGAAACCTGTAAGAAGGTTCCGTAACAAGGACAACCACATTGTGCGGTGTGTGAAAGCTACTGAGAAGTACTTTTCTGTGATGCCGTTTATTATGCCGTACAAGGTGGTTCTAGTTTTGAAGTCTGTGGATGAAATTAGTCCAATGATGTGAACATGCATTCAAATGAAAGCTACTGAGCTGAACATACATTACATTGTGGTACTGTTCATTATGGTGTACAAGGTGGTTCTAACCGGCTGTGGATGAAATGTTTAAGTGGTAACCATTCAAATGAAACTCATGAGCAGTACTTTCCTGTGGTACTGTCTATCTTGCTTTATACAATGATGTGAATGCTACGCGCGCTGTGATTGGTCGTTGCCCATGATCTATTAGAGTACAGATACATGGATGACGTCACGGGAAACTTGTTTTCTTTGTTTTGTTCAACATGGCACGCGGTTTTGAAAATGTTTGTGAGATTATTTCGGATTGAGGCAAGTGAAAGCTTCGGAAAAAGTTTAGCAGGAGCTATTTACAAAGAAGAAAAATGGAGAAACGGAGACCAAAAAAGCTATTGACTACTTGACAATGCCTAAACTACAAGAAATCTTCACAACAGTTGCCATCGTGTGTCTTCGCTACGAGAGACTCGCTGTTTTGCAAAATGTTTTCGCTATTATTCTTCTTTGAGCAAGAAAAGACGGTGAAAACCTTTTCGAAGAAACTGTACACAAGTAAGATAAAGAAGAAGCTAAGATGAAAAGTTGGGTTTGGGACTTAAAAAATGCCTAAACTAGCACGAATCCTCAAAAGGTCAAGCGGTTCGAGGCAGGTATGTGTATCGGTCTTTTTCGTTTCTGATCATTGTATAAAACAAATAGATTCCTTGTTGCCGTGGGTCTGTTCAGTAATAGATCACAGAGGACGTCAAAATGTGGTAAAAACAACAGTGACACACTCGCCTGAGGCTCGTGTGCCACTTCTTTGTTTTTACCACATTTTGACGTCATCTGTGATCTATTACTGAACAGACGCACGGCAACATGGAACCTATTTGTTAAGTGCAAGATGCACTTATGTCCAGAAATGCATGCAATGGCGAAAATGGCGAAGCTGGCGAAAAATCGCCAGCCGCTGGCGATTTGAATTGGATGCCAAAAGTGGCCCCTTGGAAGCTGGCGATGTTGGCGAATGGTTCTAACTTTTGAGTCTGTGGATAGGATATATACCTGTAAGTCAACATTCAGGATCCTGGATCTTTGGAGACATAAAGAGGTGACAGTCATAGGTGCCTTTAATATCACTCCAACTTCAATGTTTGGTATGTAGATTTTATATAAAAGGAATAAGCTGAAAGTACCACTAAATTAAATACGTTTAGCTATTTGTTTTCTTCAGAAAAAAAAGAACCTATTTAAGAAATTAAATAACCTAAATTTATGCTAATAATCATTTATGTAAGAACCTGTTTAGCCTAAATTGAGACTGAAATGAAGGTTCTTCAGATTTTTTTCATTTATTGTTCTTTAACTGAACAAGGCTCGGCAAGCCAGCCTATACTTATACTTAACTTAGTTCAACCTACTTCTTTTCTTTCCTTAAGGGTAGCTCGAAAAAACAAAGGTAGAGTGATTTTACTTGAATCGTGAAACAGACGACTAACAAATAGTGGAAAATAGCAAGAAGTAAACAAAACAAGACAATGGAATTAGTGCGTTATAGTGCGTAATATTCTACTACCTGTTTCACGAGTGAAGTAAAATCACTCTAAAATCCGGCATATCCTATAAAACTACCTATCAAGCGCATTTAGCAAACAACAAAAGAACAAATTCAATACCCCATGGTTTTGTTTTCCCTTTGAAGGATATCGTCAGTAATAGAATTAACTAATTAATAGTCCTATAGATTTATAAAAAGGTTTTTAAAAAAATTGAAACTGACTACTCTTCGCTAAATCGGTTCATATGTCGAGTTATGCCAAGTTTACCAGTCAAGATGTTCTCTGCATTAATACTTAATCAACCGAGAATACGGTGTCGTTATTTAAACGTTTTTATCAGCTATCAGCGCTATTGAGCCCAAAACGTACTACCAATTCATTCCATTCCAAAATTATCTCGTTCGTGTATTATTTAAAGCCTGATTGCTAAAAATACTTCTAGTGAGATCAATAACTCGATCCTTATGCCCACTTGATTAATTAACTGTTGAAGTCGATGTACTATTCCCGGGACTATTCGCATGAAATTAATTAACTCTTGGCCGTAGTTCGAGGAGGCCTAACCTCTCATAAGCCTATAGTTTCTGTTAGGTCTCCTCGCCACTTCTTTTTTTTACTTGTCCTATATAATTTATAATTTATAAATGGCTTTTTGTGCCATTTTTCGTTCGGTGCATTTGATATAAGCACTTATCGTTGGTTTAGCGCATGAAAGTTTGAGCAGCAGGGGTTGAACGGCAATTTCGCTTCAACTGCAATTCTCCATTACTCTTATTATTAGGTTACAGCGGCGATTTTAAATCACACCTAGAGGATCGCACTAAAGAAAGGGCCCGAAGTCAAAACAACTCTAAAACTTAAGTTAACAAAACAGGGCCACCCAACGTCAATTTTCTGAAAATATCTGTTCAGAAGACGATTTGAGATCTAGAATTTTCGGAACATTTGTTGTAAAATTTCTTGCTTGCCTGTCTCTCCTAGGATTTTCGAACATCCAAAAAAAGGTATAATTGCCCATTTTTAACGGATTTTTACCCTAAAAAGGTCACCTAGAATTTTGGGAGCCTTTTCTCTGGCTGAAATTTTCGAAAAGGTAAAGTATAATTTTCGGATCACTAGACTTTTAGCTAGGAAATCCGAACGGATGAAAAATGTTTAGGGGATAAAATAAGCCTATATCTACCGTTTAAATACTAAAATACGTTTAGCAATGCTTTGTTTAAGTAGTTTTGAACTATATTCTCGTTGGGTGCCCCTGACAAAACTCACCGGACTACAGATTTATAGAAATTACCGGAGGTAAAAGCCTCAGACAATTATAACCTAGTAATCAAACAATGCAGTGACACGATTTCACCTGCATTTTTGGGAGATAAATGTACTCGGGAGTTCCATCTTCCGTCAAAATCATCAGTGACATGGGAAGCAGTTCATTTGGTCGACAACATACAGTTTGAAATTGATTTAAATTTATCAGAGCCTGAGCTCGCCACTGAAGATTGCCGTAGATCGATGATCTAGCGCAAACTCCAGCACACGTAAACGTGGTCAATACTCTGGGGGCAATGACAAAATTCCAACCGATAGCTTTAAAATCTATCTCAAACATACTCTTGCGGCAGCAGTTCCTTGGCTCGGTTTTATTGCATTTTCTTAACTGAAAAGATCTTCTTTTGCGGCTGACTGTTTTCTTTTCTTTTGTGTCGACAAGCAGGAAAGGCTGATTTGCTTCCGGGTCACCGTTAGTCATGCCACCCACCACAAGAGATTTGAGCCCCTTCGTTTCTATTTCCAAACTCAAATCTGACGTTCGATGCTGTGAGAACCATTCTTTAACCACAAAACTAACGTCGAAGGAGTGCCAACCAGTTGTGTTGAGTTGCTTCGAATGAAAACGTTCTTTGGCCATAACATCTCTTGCTTCTTTTCCTTTGAAACGCCTCCAAAGGACCAATTTGTACATTACTTGTTTATTCTCTCGACTTGATCTGGCTGCCTCGCTGNAAGGTCACCTAGAATTTTGGGAGCCTTTTCTCTGGCTGAAATTTTCGAAAAGGTAAAGTATAATTTTCGGATCACTAGACTTTTAGCTAGGAAATCCGAACGGATGAAAAATGTTTAGGGGATAAAATAAGCCTATATCTACCGTTTAAATACTAAAATACGTTTAGCAATGCTTTGTTTAAGTAGTTTTGAACTATATTCTCGTTGGGTGCCCCTGACAAAACTCACCGGACTACAGATTTATAGAAATTACCGGAGGTAAAAGCCTCAGACAATTATAACCTAGTAATCAAACAATGCAGTGACACGATTTCACCTGCATTTTTGGGAGATAAATGTACTCGGGAGTTCCATCTTCCGTCAAAATCATCAGTGACATGGGAAGCAGTTCATTTGGTCGACAACATACAGTTTGAAATTGATTTAAATTTATCAGAGCCTGAGCTCGCCACTGAAGATTGCCGTAGATCGATGATCTAGCGCAAACTCCAGCACACGTAAACGTGGTCAATACTCTGGGGGCAATGACAAAATTCCAACCGATAGCTTTAAAATCTATCTCAAACATACTCTTGCGGCAGCAGTTCCTTGGCTCGGTTTTATTGCATTTTCTTAACTGAAAAGATCTTCTTTTGCGGCTGACTGTTTTCTTTTCTTTTGTGTCGACAAGCAGGAAAGGCTGATTTGCTTCCGGGTCACCGTTAGTCATGCCACCCACCACAAGAGATTTGAGCCCCTTCGTTTCTATTTCCAAACTCAAATCTGACGTTCGATGCTGTGAGAACCATTCTTTAACCACAAAACTAACGTCGAAGGAGTGCCAACCAGTTGTGTTGAGTTGCTTCGAATGAAAACGTTCTTTGGCCATAACATCTCTTGCTTCTTTTCCTTTGAAACGCCTCCAAAGGACCAATTTGTACATTACTTGTTTATTCTCTCGACTTGATCTGGCTGCCTCGCTGATGAAGACCCATAATGTTGCGGATTTGATCTCAAGGCCCAGGTGTTTTGAACTCACCTTGAATATGTAGTTTTTTTCAACTTTATTTGCTTAAAAGGCAAATGAATTTTAAATTAAGCTGGCAACTGTGTTGCTATTGAAAAGAAAGAATATCTTGTTACCTTGACTAACACTAAAAGCATAACGCACCCATATATCTTAGAAAAAGAAAAGCTTCAATGAGATGATGTTGACGAGATTATTTTCAGTGGTTTCCTAATACCTTAAATAGCCAGACATTAATCGTGGCTAGGGACATAGTACCCTGAGAAGTCGAGTTCTCGAACAATAGATAGCTCGTCTCGTAAATCCCGACAATAGTGTCTAGAAGTCAAGAATTAAATCCAGAACTATCAGGATGCGGGCAGAATAGAGACATTTTCAAGACCACGAGAGGTGAAAAAATAGCCGGCCTCCCCAGGTCAGATTTATGAAAAAGTTTTCAGCGTTTTTCTTTCCGGAAGGAGAACGTTTACTAGCTGTGGGTGTAAAATACAAGCTATTAATTAACGCAAAATAAAAAATAAATCTCACCTTCTTCTGGGAAGAGAAAAATTTGCCTTGTTTTAGCGTAAAATTTATCATCCACTTCCTCAGCCAGGCGTTTATACCTTCTGTTTTCGGCTTCAACCAGGTTTCTGAGAATTTCTGGAATCTTCGGGGGTCTAAGACCACTGACATTTGGCGCAGTGGAAAAGCCCAGTTCTTTGAGCAGTTTTTTCTTGAATGACTCCACTAGGATCTGCTCGCTGTCAGATACATTTTGACCACGAAATCGACAAGACGAACCTTCGAAATGCAAAGAGAGGACCGTGAAAACGACAAGAACTGTCATAAAATGGTCCATTTTCTTGAAAGTGAGTTGTTCCGGATTGGGTCCCTGTGATGGCTCTCGTGGTGTGAATATGGTCATCAATTGCCAAGTCGGATGATAAATTCAGCAACCTTGGAACGTTTGATAGCGGAGTATCTAATGACATTAAATCAGCGATGATGTGGTAATCGATATGAAATACATGATGAAACAGTATACTCAGTCCTTTTGTCCATACAATGAATGCTTATCATCTTTTAGAAAACACTAACTGACAGAGTTATCAAGCAAATTCAAAGATGCGATCTAGGAATGTACCTAAGAGAAGAAATCGTGCTCTCCTTCACGGAGAACAGTAAATGTTATTTCACAAATGAAAAAAGTGGAGAAATTTGCTTTTTTCTCCTACCATTTAAGTTCTCTATCTAGGGTTGTTATTTTCTGGAGCAAGTAGTCCATATGAAGCAGAATTTAATCGCATGGGTCAGTATTCCACGAGTAGTCACAGCAAAATACTCGAGCCACCTTATGTTTATTTTGCCGTGGTGGTAATGGAGGCCAGATCCAGTTGACAGTAATCAACAAAGTTTTATACAGGGAGCCTCCGCACCGAGGTTCAACCC